GAGGGCAACTACGGACTCAATGAGTTATTTGCAAATTCAACAGCATGGTTGAATTTTTGCGAATAGCTCGTTGGTCATTTGATATTTTGATTGTTATATTATTTTGCTCGTCAATAATTTATAGTGGTTTTTTAAGAATGGAAGTAATTAATATAGTTTTCTTTCTGTCATAGGTGAACATCGTTGGAATTACCACCACCAACTCTCTACCAAAGATTTTTATTGGCAAAAATAAATCGAGTATTTGACAAAATTCCCCCTAACTTTGATATCATATCATTTTTTAATTTCCTATTACCCCACACTTTTCACTTTTCATTTTTCATTTCATTCATAGAAACTAATTATTTTATAATATATTTTTTTTCTAAGTATTAGGAACATAATTTTCATTTTATTTTGTTTCAGGATATGATTAATTCTAATGCACTTGTAAGTGCATCGGGTTTTTCATCGGGAACTTTCCCTTCGATGCATTCATTGCATCTTTTCTCCAAAATAATCATTTCTTTTTCTTTTTCAGGTTCGTTTTGAGTTTCTTTTTTCAGTGGGTAGCGGGTAGATCTTTCTTTGATTTATTCACAAAGAAAAGTCTACTTCAGGGATGCGACCCTGCCCTATGCAAGCCATGATTTTCTCCTACCTCCAATAATTGGGAAAAACCATGTCCTTACCTACAAACTCCCTCCCCCCACCCCCACCACCCATCAATTATCCTACTTTTAATATTTTGTTAGCAGAATGAACTATGGAGACGATGCCAAAATTCTTTCCAAAAAGAGGTGACAAGGACTCAGAAGAGAACTGAGTCATGGTAATCCGTATGGTAGCATAAAATAATTATTTTTATAGGTAAATGAAGTATTATATTTTTACAGGTACCATGGATCAGTCCAAAATCATGGAATTTTTATCTTAAAAATTGTATTTTTTTTCATTCAGTTCTATTCTCTTTTAGGTTTTGTTAACAGGATGAACTACGATGCAAAATTTTGTCCAAGAGAAGTGGGATGTGGACCAGAAGAGGATTAAGTTATGGTAAACTATATGGTTATATGAAATAATTATTTTTATAGGTAAATGAAGTATTATATTTTTACAGGTACCATCTAATATCTTTTTTTTTCTACAGGTATCATCTAATATTATATATATATTTATTTTTATTATCCTATCTTTTTTAGGTAGATTGAAAATTATTAAATATATAATATAATATTAAATATAAAATAAATATATAAAATATTCATAACTTGTAATCTTTGTATATGCATATATTGAATTTATGCTAAGGTGTGTTAATTTTCAATAGGATCAACGATAAATTCTATTCAGGTAATACTTCTCATTTATCATTATGTTTTTTTAGGTATTCAAAATAATAATTTTATGGATTTTTCAAATGGTACTCTTATGGTGGGGCCTAAGAGTTAGGTTCTCTCTTTTCCATTATATTCGGATGTGGGCATCTTTAGGATGCACATCCCTCCTGGGTCTTCAGAAGCGGTTACCTCCTCGTGGTTAGACCCGGGCAATGGTATTTTACTTTCAGTATAATGTATATCATATTTTAATATGCTATACATTCCATTGCAAGTAAAAACTAGCCAAAGACCGCTTACAATAAACATTATAATTGTAATTAGTTTCTTTAAACTTACCAATTATCATATTTTCTTTCCATTCCTTGATATCTTCTATCCATTTTTTCATCTAAAGAAACTAATTACTTTATAATGTTTTTTAATAATTTATTATTTTTCAGGTTCGTTTATTTTACGGCATTTTATTAAAATATTATACAATAACTTATTAATTTGATTTTATTAATTTTAATCTTTTACAATAAACTCTTTTATAGTCGTCATCATAGATTTATTTATTAAAACAATTTAAGCAAGGATTTGTGATTAAAGTAATTTATAAAGTTAATATATTAGTTTTTTCTATATCTTTTATAAGATGATATTTAAAAATGAAAATTATATTTTTACTATTATTTTACTAAATATGGACTATCTAAAACTCCACTACCTTGAATGATACCTCCTTCATTTTCATCAGACATCTTAGTTCTTAGAATATGACCACATTTTTCATTATACAGTATATCAGTACGATTTCTAAAAATGTACAAATAAAAAATAATATCAATTAGTGTGTTACATTAATGATAATAAAAAAAAAAAAAGTGAATAACAATTAAACTTACCCAATAATTACTCCATAAATACCAAGTTCTGATATAACATCGGATAAAATTAATTCATCGTGATTTACATCATTTGTTGAACTAATAAGACTGTTTTTCTGCGAAGGAGGATTAATACGATCCATGAGAATCCATGCAGTACGTTCCTTAGAATTTCTCATTTTTGTTAAATATTTTTTAATATTTTCGTCGTATACATTATTACCACCACCTTCACGTTGTGGCTTAAGAACATATTTTTCAGGTTCATTTATAGCCTTTGTTATAATTTTCTCTGCTTCTACATTCTGTTATAATAAAATCATTAGTTTAATGCTATTACTTATGATATTATAATATAATTATAAATCAGAGGAACATGCATGTCTTCATTATATTTCTGCATCATTATACAGAGTGATCTGTAACTAATGGTAGTGGATTCATGTAGAATCACCTCCTTTTCGCTTATACCACCAGTTACAAATCACCCTCTGTATATACATACTTACAAAATCCAATGAATATAAACCAGTAAATACTTCTTGAATCTTGGCCACTGCATGAGGTTCCTCTATGAACCTATTCAATACGCTTGGTTCAACTAATGCTTGTTGAATCTATGAAAATTTATAGAAATCAATTGATACCTAGTCAATACTCAAAAAAAATATAGATATAAAACTTGTCATTAAAATTTGTACACACTTTTTTAGTTCCTGCTAAATGATATTGTATCGATGGACATTTTATTGCTTTAGAACGTTCTATAAGTAAACGCACGTCCCATTCTTTCTCAGTAGGATATGCCTGAAGTTCATAACCAGATCTAAAGTATACTACAGCGACTACTAGATTATCACTAAAAAAAAAAAAATATTAATTTAATTATTATAATATATTATCAAAATCTATTGCATGAATTAATATAATATTGAAATAAATATATACTAACACAATTAATTCTTTATTAGGTCCTAATTGTGCATCAAGCACTAAAGCGCTTAAACTTCTTCTGATAACTTTAATAGCAGGATTTAACTTGCGTACTTCAAATTCATGAAATCTTTGATCACTTATATTATATGTAATATTTTCAACAACAATCAATATCACAGCCCTGAAATTAATTTAATAATATATAGTTTTCAATGTTTATTTTTATAAATAACTAAATACTTACTTATTGTCATTGTATAATGACCATGCTTCAATTAATCCTTTAGCAAATCCATTAACGGGATTATTCAATGGTAACTTTGAAATAATACAAATTAATTAAATTATTAATAAATGATTAACATATTATAATTTAATACTTACAAATTGTAATTTATCAGCATGTCCTAGTTCCATTAAAATATACCTTCAAAAAATATCAAGTAAAACATAAATAAATGAATAAAAAACTTATGGTTCTTCAAATTATTTCTATTATTCTTTCTAAAATATTAAATACCTATGATATTGTGAAACAACTGTGGACAAACCAGCGAAACTAGACGCAATTGTATTTAATTCTACTTGTTTGATCCCTTTGTCAATACCATCATGTAATAAATAATCTGATCTCAACAATCCTAAACTAATATCCTACAAAGAAGAAAATTATGAACAATTATTGAAAAAACTTGTTATACTATATATTATGCATTATATATACATATATATTTTATTGGTTTTACTTGTGCAAATCCTTCATTATAAACAGTTTCATATATATTGAATAACCGTGCTGTAAAATCATCAACCTCAATTGTTCTGAAACATACATATGTTGTTCTAATCGAATACCAACTTAACATATATAAACATAAATTTGAATATATGATTACAATTTAATTTACCCTTTTAAAGTACGTCTAATAAAATGATCATCATGTGCAACTTTGTGCGTAAGTTTATTTAATAAAACTTGTACATCTTTAACTTTGTCATAAAATTTCTTTGGAAAGCTTGAAGGTAATAAAGCAAAAGGTGCTATTTGTACTTGATTTTTATTAAAATTTGTCTTTGATCTCATACACATACCTGAAATATTTAACAATTATATATTAATAAATATTTTTAAAAAAATAATAATAATATTTTCTGTTAATGCATACCATGCATAAGTGCCCAATCTTTAGCTTTATCCATAAGATCTTGAAAATCTTTCTTAGAAGGATTAAGATCTATACAACGTTGCAATTGGAATGTACTCATGATTGTTAAATAATTTGTAAACAATAATCACACGAGAAAAATAATAAAATATAAATATATCTATGTGTGTGTATATATATATATATGTATATATTTACAAAAACGAATATTCAACACATTATTTTACAAATACATTAATAAATATTACTGTGATTTCAAGTAATGATTATCAGTAAATTAAAAATCAAAAATAACCTTGATGTACCATACTTGCTCTCATGATAACTAAAAATGATATTGCGCAACAGTACATAAAAGATAAAAATTTAAAAAAAAAATAGTGATCAATCAAACACACCAGGAATAGTAACGAAAGTAGAGATTATACGATGATATGCACATTTTAACATAATCAAAATCAACCAATCATTTGTTTAACCATGCTAGCAGAAAACGTATTATGTATATGCATTTTATGGCTTTATATGTGTATATTTTGTATGCCAGCTTTTAATTATGACAACAAATTAATTCAACACATTTGTGTATCATTATGCAAAATATTGTTTACTATTTGAAATTGATTATTGAAAAAACATTTTGAAAATGGCGCTAATTTGGTTTTTTAAATCACGTGACGTTTTAGCCACCTCTAAATGTCAGCTAGTAACGTCAGAGGGCAGCACGAGCACCAGCGGAAGCAAGCGCCAGTAGCGCTCCACTATTTCCTTTCTTCCTTGCTCGTTATTAGTCGCTTTTATTTCATTTAAATATCAAAAGAAGTTTAATAATTAAAAATAATACAATTTTATATAGTCAAAATTAAAAAATAAATTTAAATAAATGTGAAGAAAATGAATTTTCTAAATTAATTTAAATACACGAATATGTTAAGTGATTCGTTTTCATGAAAATTTTAGTTCACTTTTAGTTAACCTATATTACCATCTATATTGTAATGGTTGTTCAGTGACTGACGCTTGCGCTGTATTATATCCCGAAAAAGTACAGTTCTTTCACCCTCAAACCTTCGTTTTATAGCATTGTATACTATCAAAAAAATTTTAATTTAAATATTTGTACTTAATTGAATTTATATACAATAAAAAACAAGCATCGCATGTTAAGGGAGTGAATAGCTCAATTTAATTAGAGTTAATTCACTCGTGGGAATAATATTTATTGGTGTAAAACGTTCTACAACTTAATGTTTCACAATGAGTGATTATTCAGCGGTCGCTCCGCCTCAAAACTTTAGTCAAAGCTCCGCTTTTGCGGCAGCTTTGCAACGAGCAAAGCAGGTAAATATTCATTTTTTAACAATATTTTTATATCCATTATATGTCTAATTAATTTAATTTGATTTTTTTTTTCTTTCAATGTAATACCTTATCTCACATTTCTATTTTACATTTATCATATTTCAAAACTTTCCATTAGATTTTGTAATATATTACATTAATTTGTATGTATTACATATTCTTATCATTATAAGTGTAAATATATTTAAATCATTCCATCTTACTGCAGTATGTATTTGTCATCCGTATTGAAAGATGCATGACTGATATTGTTCATTTAATTTTAAAGTTCAAAGATATCAAACTGTATATATTTTGTTTCATTTAATAATTGAATTTTGATTAACATTATCTTTTATTATTTGACTTTATAGATAGCAGCAAAAATAAATCCTGCTGGTGCTCAAAATAATCAAGAGTCCAAGTTAAAACGTCCTCTTGAAGACAGTACAGGTAATGTTTACTTCCAATAAGAATTCCTTACAGAAATTTATGTATTACAGTTATGTGACACTGTTAATACTTTCAAATAATTAAGAGTCAACGTCATTATTAAAATAGACAAGAATATATACTATAATTAGAACATATCAATTATATCCTTTTAATATTAAATAGAACCGGAAGCTAAAAAAATGGCAGCATTAGTAGCAGACCCACTAATAGGACTTCGTGCTGGACCGACAAGTAATAGTTCTATCGGGGAAGGATCTAACCCAGCTGCAGCTAGAGTAGGATCACAATCATCATCATCCACTCCGATAGGTGGTATGGGAGGTATTTGCAATGAAGATATCAGAGTTCCAGATAAAATGGTTGGTCTAAGTAAGTGAAACATCAATACAATTATTATTTGAAGAAGACCCATTAGTGTGTTTCTTTTTTTGTTTTTATTTTGTTTTTATTTTGTTATATATTATGCATAGAAGTTAATATAATTTGAACATGTCTAATAACTTGGTTTCTTTCATTATATTTTCTTAAAAGTTAATATCCATAATTCATAGTGCTATTTTTACAGTAATCGGCAGAGGTGGAGAACAAATAACAAGATTACAAAGCGAGACAGGATGTAAGATACAAATGGCTCCAGAAGGTGGATTAGCTGAACGAGTTTGCACGCTAACGGGTTCAAGAGAAGCTGTCAAGTAACTTGTTTTTCCCTTTCTTATTTCATTACTTTCGTCTATTTTGTATGCAATGCAATCCCATTTTGTTATTATGTCTTGACACACAAAGGAAAAGGGTCTATCACCATTAATCATATTGAGTTACATTTACAAACCTTTAGCGTAGTTAAATGCTATATAATTGCACATATAACATATTTAGATAATGAGAAAGACAATAAGAGAAAACCAACCAAATGCTCTTTAGCAGAATGATTACAGCTGGTGAAAGAAATTGACAAAAGTATATATTTATAATAATGAAGCCAAGCAAATCCACTATCCTCCTTAATTTTAATATTCAAGTATATAGATCATATATGATTTTATTATTAAATTAGGAATGTTTCACCTATATAATCCCCTTTTTATTGTGCAACTCTTCCTTAAGTATACCTAAAATGATATCACCACATATATTTTTATAAAAGAAACTATTCATGAAAAACAAATTCTTGATATTAACCATATAATATTAGATAATTTGAAGGATTTTTTTTTCTTGTGTTAGAACATATGCTCTAAGCATAATTTAATAAACGATATATAGTTTGTATGTATTTCATTTACTATGGTATGCTATCACTTCGTGCTGACATGCATTTTATAATTGTATACAACTTACGCTTTTGCATATTAAAGTTACCAAGTGTTTTACAGAACCATTATATAGCTCCAGGATGTGAGTAATGGGCACAGATTCGACTTTGCACATGCATCAGAATTTCAGTCATAGAAAGTGATCCATGAGTTGTGGATTTTGGTTTTAATGCTTTTGTATTTACTAATAGTTTTTTGCTTTCAATAGGATATGGAGAGTGAAGGAAGGAAGGAGGATAGGATATGCATGGGGACGTGTTGTTCGCAACAGGAAGAAAAATCAATTGAATTTTTTATTTATTTATAAAAAAAAAAAATAGAAAAAGAAAACTGCTTTTATATCTGTGGTTATAATATTTATATATCTGAAGTTTTGATTTAATTGTACATTTCTCTCTCTCTATCTCTCTCTCTTTATAATGGAAAAATTTCAAACATAAACCTGAAAAATGAAAGTAAAACCAATTATGGTTTATTATCATATTTCATCACATAGTAGATATTTTATGTGTTGCAAACAAATTATTATTATTATTATTATTATTATTATTATTATTATTATTATTATTATTATTATTATTATTATTATTATTATTATTATATATTGCTGTATAGTATTAGAAAAGTTTTGATATAAAAAATAATTGGCAATTATATTGCACTTTAAACTTGTATTTGTTTCAGTCGAGCGAAAGAATTGGTCCTCTCGATTGTTAATCAAAGAAGTCGAACGGAAGGAATCGGAGATCTTAATATGAGTGGAAGTAGCAGTGGAATAATAGGACATCCAGGTTTTGTGGAAATTATGATACCAGGTCCAAAAGTTGGATTAATTATTGGAAAAGGTGGAGAAACTATCAAACAACTTCAAGAAAAATCTGGAGCTAAGATGGTTGTTATTCAAGAAGGTCCTTCGCAGGAACAAGAAAAACCTTTAAGGTAATATTAAATATATTATGATAAAGATGAAATATTACATGTTATTAATTCCAATAGGATAACTGGAGATCCTCAAAAAGTAGAATACGCTAAGCAATTAGTATACGAACTTATAGCAGAAAAAGAAATGCAAATGTTTCATAGAGGTGCAAGAGGAGGAAGCGAAAGAGGAGGAAGTTATTCTAATGATAATAATTTTAATCATGGCTCTACTAGTAGTGATGGAGTAGAGGTACATTAATATTTTCTATGACCAAAATTAAATAATTATTATTTACATTTATATTTACAGCATATAATTTTTATTATGGGGGATAGCAAAAAAAAAAAAAAAAATCCAAAAAGGTATCATGAATTAATAAAATATATGTTAATAATTAATTTACAAACTAATTTAGGTACTAGTACCAAGAGCTGCGGTAGGTGTTGTCATTGGTAAAGGTGGAGATATGATTAAAAAAATCCAAGCTGAAACTGGAGCAAGAGTTCAATTTCAACAAGGTAGAGAGGATGGTCCTGGGGACAGAAAATGTTTGTTATCCGGAAAACACCAAGCTGTTGAACAGGCTCGTCAACGTATTCAAGAACTTATTGATAGTGTAATGGTAAATTTCATATAATTTTGATACGTTGTATTTTAACTTGTAATGTTAACATGTAACTTATATCATCACAGAGGAGAGATGATGGTAGAAGTACTATGGGTGCCAGAAGTGGGCCCAGAGGAAATGGATTTGGTACTGGTAGAAATCCAAATGAATATGGAACTTGGGATAGACGTCAAGGTGGTCCTATGCAAGATAAGATAGAAACCACTTTCACGGTACCTTCCTCAAAATGTGGTATTATTATTGGAAAAGGTAGATTGAAAGTAATCCTGATAAATTCTATATTTAAAATGATTCATTTTAAATCATTTGATTTTAATTGATCATTTATATAAATTTACTTATTATAGGTGGTGAAACTATCAAACAAATAAATCAACAAACAGGAGCACATTGTGAATTAGACAGGCGGAATCAAAGTAATGAAAGTGAAAAGATTTTCATTATTCGTGGCAATCCTGAACAAGTAGAACATGCTAAAAGAATATTTAGCGAAAAGTTAGGAATGGTACATAT